CCAGCAGAATGTCCAGCCCCTAGGGGGCCATAGCCGCGGTGGGACCTCTCCCGCCAGACCCTACAGCAACCCACGTCATCCCAGCACGGGAACTCCTGCTGCTTCCCTGAAATACCCAGGAGACTTGGAATGCCGGAAGATGCAGCTGAGAGCCAGGCTCGGGATTGCACGGCAGCTTGGGGGACATACAGCAGAACCTTGGGCACTAATGGATTTTTCAGCATTTATCTTTTTCTATGGAACTAGGCTCTGGCCCATGTTACTGAGGATGCTCCAGCCCTGCTCCCAGAGCATGTTTCAACCCTCTTCCTGGGAATGCTACCACCCCATTCCCAGGGATGCTCCAGCCTGGTTCCCGGGGATGCTCCAGCCCCGTTCCAGGGGATGCTCCAGCCCTGTTCCAGGGGATGCTCCGTCCCCGCTCCCAGGGATGCTTGGAGCATCCCCATCCCTCCCAGCGGCCGGGCAGCCCCGTGGGCAGCGGGTGCATTCGCAGGAGTCGGAGCAAGGGGGTGCATCCGCAGAAGCCGGAGCATCCAAGGGGCTGGCGCCGGCACCAGGAGCGGCCGCTCCGGCTCCCGGCTCTGAGCGCGGCCACCAGGGCGAGAGCTGCGTGACAACAGCAGCCACCACCGACCGGCGCTCTCATCATGGGGACGGGCGCCGCGATTCGGAACCAGCGCGGAACCAGCACGGCTGAGCGGGGAACACTGCCTGTCCCAGAAAAAAGACATGAAATACATAAAATATAAGAAAATTCAGGAACGGAAAGGGAAAGGGAAAGGAAAAGGAAAAGAAAAAAAGAAAAGGAAAAGGAAAGGAAAAGGAAAAGAAAAAAGGAAAGGGAAAGGGAAAGGCTATGGTGTTTCTTTACCCTATCAACCTTAGGGAGCTCCCTTAGCCCCGTGCTGCAGATAAGGGCAGCGGGGGGATCCTCCTGGTCTGGGTCCTGCCACAGCAGCTGCCCAGCTGCTGTCCCTGTCCCTGCCCAGCTGGTCACTGCTGGACTGTCCTTTACACCCCTAGGGAGGAGTTTGGGGCAATTAGCGGGTATTTTGCAAGTGCACAGACCATTCACAAGTCTCAGCGCTACAGAGCTGGGTATTTGCTTGCAAACGTGGGCGAGGGAGATGGCCCTGCGCCTGCAGGCTGCACTTGCAGCTGGGGACTGTGCGCTGCCCGTGTCCGGGCCCAAACACAGGTACACACGCATGCACATACACATGTGCACACACACAGATATGCATGTGCACATATGCATGTGCACACATACGCATGTGCACGCATGCATGCACGCATGCACATGTACACACACGCATGCACACACATGCATGTGCACACATACATGCACGCGCACACACATATACGCATATGCACACACGCACACATACACATGTGCACACAGGCACACACACACGGATATGCATGCGCACATATGCATGTGCACACACACGTGTGTGCATGCATGCACACATGCACATGTGCACACAGGCATGCACACACCCATGCATGCGCACACCCAGATGTGCACACACATATACGCATGTGCACACACGCACACATACACATGTGCACACATCGACGAGCCACCTCTGGGCCTCACAGAGGTGGCTGAATGGGGACACAAAGCCAGGACAGGAACCCTGGGAGAGTGGCAGCGGGGCTTCCCTCGGTCCCCCCGTGCCGGCACGAGCGGCCCCACGACTGCAGCAGGAAGAGCCCAGAGCCCCATCCGTGGGTCCCGCCCTGGCTGTGGGGCAGGGGGCAGCCCCACGGGGAGCCTCCTGCAGCCGCCCGGGAGCAGCAGCTCCAAATCCCCTCTGGAGCAGCTGGGCGCTCCGTACAGACCAGGGCTGGTCCCTATACGCTGGGATCTGGGTGGTCCCATGGGGGTCAGGGAGCCCCAGGGTGGGAGATGCCCCCGTTCCTCAGTAGCGTCACGGGGACGGTGCCGCTTGGAGCAGCGACCAGGCCTCGTGGTGCCTGCACAGCCCCAGAGCAGCCAGGGTCCCGCTCGCGGCCCTGCCCAGCATTCCCTCGGGAAGCTCCGGGACCAGCCGGCGGCCGCCCCGGAGCCGCACGTCCCCGGCCTGCACGACCCTGCACCTGGGGAGGAATAACCCCAGACACCAGTACAGGCTGGGGACCGACCTTGTGGAGAGCAGCTCTGCAGAGAGGGACCTGGGTGTCATGGTGGATGACAAGTTGACCATGAGGCAGCAGTGTGC